ATTTAACTCAAATTTGTTTTGATTTGCATAGAAAGGTAGACGTGGCCTAAGTCTGATCGCGGACTGTTCCCAAACTTCAACGGTTAGGTTTGTTGGTGGTTGGGGGAAGGTTCTCAATGCTTGACAGGGGCTTTACAATTAGACGTCTTAGGAACAAAAACGGATTGATACTTTGTATTGCCATGGTCTGCCCCGACTTGTGCTTCAAATCTTGTAAATTTTGAGGACCCCTTAAAGGTTTTTGTGCTTAAAATTTGCATTCGTAGGTCCTTTAACATGATAATTCCAAAGCAATAGACGTTAACAATCGGTGCACATGTTTGAATGTCTAGAAAATTCTGTAATGAATGTAGCATAATATTAGTATGTATATTAGTGCTTGTGACGGGGATAGGTTTGTTGGTTCCTGAATTATGCAACACGTAGTATTACGTACGCATATCATGTATAAGAATACAATATGTTTTTTTGTATATCTTTTTGTATATATATGCTTAGGAGAATGTCGGGAGCAAAGTCGGTTGTAGATGGCCGGTGTTCGGCAAGATCGGCTAGTGTTTAAAACATCCGGTTGTGGCCGGGAGGTTTTGTCATGTATGGCTGATGTTCGGGGGTCAAAGTAGACTTAAATTTAACTCAAATTTATTTTGATTTGTATAGAAAGGTAGACGTGGCCTAAGTCTGATCGCGGACTGTTCCCAAACTTCAACGGTTTGGTTTGTTGGTGGTTGGGGGAAGGTTCTCAATGCTTGACAGGGGCTTTACAATTAGACGTCTTAAGAACAAAAACTGATTGATACTTTGTATTGCCGTGGTCTGCCCCGACTTGTGCTTCAAATCTTGTAAATTTTGAGGACCCCTTAAAGATTTTGTGCTTAAAATTTGCATTCGTAGGTCCTTTAACATGATAATTAAAAATCGTGGGGTCGTGTGGCGCAGTCGGTAGCGCGTTCGGCTCACACCCCAGAGGTCGCGGGTTCGAACCCTGCCCATGTCACCGATCTTGTGCCCTTGGGAAAGGCACTTTACACGACTTTCCTCACTTCACTCAGGTGGAAATGAGTACCTAGCTTCGGTTAGGGACGTCCCTCGGATAGGCCGTTAAATGGAGGTCCCGTGTTTGGGAGAGCAACACCCCACGCACGTTAAAGAACCCACCGCACTTATCGAAAAGAGTAGGGGATCTTCCCGGTGTGAGTGGTTCAAAACCTTACAGTCCGGTCTTACGCAGCTTGTACATGTACGCATATGTACAAAACTGGTGTGTTACGCCTAAAGGCGGTTTACCGGTTATGCGAAACAAACAAACAAATTCAAAAGCAATAGATGTTAACAATCGGTGCACATGTTTGAATGTCTAGAAAATTCTGTAATGAATTTAGCATAATACTAGTATATATTATATTAATGCTTGTGACGAGGATAGTTTTTTTGGTTCCTGAATTATGCAACGCGTAGTATTACGTACGCATATCATGAATAAGAATACAATATGCTTTGTATATCTTTATGCATTTCAGTTTATGTATACACAATACATAGACCATCTTTGATTCCCTTCGGAAACTTTGATTTCTAGTGTGTGTGTGTGTGTGTGTGTGTTAGTGTGTGTGTTAAAGTGTGTGTGTGTGTGTGTGTGTGTGTGTGTGTGTGTGTGTGTCTGTGTGTGTTTTTGGTGTTAGTGTGTGTGATTGTGTGTGTGTGTCTGTGTGTGTGTGTGTGTGTGTGTGTTAGTGTGTGTGGTGTGTTAGTGTGTGTGTGGTGTGTGTGTTAGTGTGTGTGTTTGTGTGTGTGTGTGTGGCTTTTGACATATGTTATGTGGTATATAGATATACCTTACAAATATAAAGGAGATCGCCCCCCCTCACCCCAGCTAAACGCCTCTCTGTTTCTCTCGAGCTGTCTCCCTCTGTCTCTCTTTCTTTCTCTCTCACTCTCTCTCTCTCTCTCTGCATACATCTTCTGTTACAGACAGGTCTTAATTGTCATTTGGCAGATTGCCGTGTCGGCCAGAATCAACAGGGGTCTTGTGGCGTAGCGAAAGCGTGTTCAGCTCAGGACCAAGAGGTCCTGGGTTCGAATCCTACCCACTTCTTGTGCACTTGGGAAATGCACTCTACACGGCTTTCCTCACTTCACTCAGATGGAAATGAGTACCTAGCTTCAGTTAGGGACGTCCCTCGGATAGGACGTCAAATGGAGGTCGCATGTTTGGGGAGAGCCACATCCCACGAGAAAGAATCCACCACAGAATATCGGAACAAGGCTGAGGCAATAAAAATCATTGCCAAGGCGACGCCTGAATGATATATATTATTTCATGTGGTGAAGCTAGCAATCCACATCACAATTATAAGAAAAACAGATTTCCCTATCTTATAAACACATGCATGTAGTGAAATTTACAGGATGGGTGGAGGAGGTGTGGGGCAATATACTAAATACACTCAGGTATAGGAGGAATCAGTCGTTCCTCTCCAACAATATATATTTTATATGACATACTTACTTTACTTTGGTCGAGTTCCCGCTCGAACCAAACTTAAAACCATCCTCCACTTTACTCTTCCCTCCACCAGAGACTGGATTTTACGGCTGATCTGAAGTTGTTGCTCCTAGGACTTGTTTCACCTTTTGTGGGTCCCCAAAGGACAGATAATTTCTTTTCTCTGTGTGATCTGTTGGAATAAACCCACCTACACTAGCCTAAATGTTATTGGGGAGGGAACGTCAGATTCCTGATCAAGTAATTTTTAACCAAAGACAGCTGTGCTCTCTGTCTATGGTCCCTGGTTCGGGGAGAAGACAGATGGCCAGTAATTAATCATGCCAGGCAGCCGGATGGTTGGCACGTGGGCACCGGGTGAAAGTTACCTGCTTGGTCCAAAAACCACATGGGCGAAGGTTACCTCAACAAATTTCCTAGGGAATGCACTCGTGCAATTTTTCAAATTCTTTCAAAGCGATCATATTACTTGCACAAATGCCTCCGCTCCAAATGCGTTGCCAAAAGAGTACCTTCCAGGTGTGAGTGGTTCAAACCTTACAGTTTGGTATTACGCAGCTTGTACTTAGACCACACCGACTTAATTTCATGGATGGCATTCACGCGCGCATTGAATTTCGCCTGATCTAAAAAAAACGTCCTCCGAGGCTCTGGCCTGCGTAGTCCATGGAAGTTAGCGACAATACGGAGCCGGTTGCTAACTCTCGAGCATGGCACCCAGGCTACCGAAGCTCAAGAACTCAGTACATACCTAAAGTGCCGATTTACAAATTCCGCAAAAAGCCAGCATGTGCCGGCTTGTCATATAACGTTACGTTGCAATGTAATGTTAATGCCGCAGATTCACTATACCAGCTTTGTATCCCTGTGGTTTAGTAGCATTTTTTTGGCCGATTTTTTTTTTATTCGCCCGCGCGCACTAGTTTGGAAGTCTTCAGAGGATGTCATCCATAAAATTAAGACGGTGTGGCCTTACGTGTACAAAACTGGTGTGTTGCGCCTAAAGGCGGTTTACCGGTTATGCGAAACAAACAACTTTACTTCTTGCAGGTAGCCCCTTCCTCCCATACCCTACCAACTGCCGTATCTTTGATATTGTGTTTAACTATATCCACCACTCTGGAAGATTTGACCAATCTCAATAATGTTATGCTAGGTATTGGTGCGCCAGCCACTTTCATTTTATGTTAATGCTATACTTTATGTCATCTTTATGTTTACATTTGTATTATGTTTTATGAGCAGCGGATTTACATAAGCACATCAAGTGCTTCCTATCCAATGCTCAAAAATCCATGTGAATAAAATAAAAATAAACAAACAACAGCTTGTTATCTTTTGTGTTTAGCGCGTGTCATCGGCCTGTGGACTAGGCTGACATCCAGTACAGTGATCGTGCCTGCAGTGGGTTGTGGGATCGTGGTGATAGTTTCAGCTGTCGCCGCTATAATCCTGGCGACTCATCTCAACCTTGTGAGAACTGAGGTAGGCCATGAGGTCTTATTCCATTTCCTGTAATTATCATCTCCAAAGCTAGACAATGCTGGGACCTGCAAAACATTTCCACCGAAACTTTCCACCGAAAGAGATTGCTGTGAACTGGCTCCTATCGACCGATACGACTTTGTAAGATTCGTTCAGCCAGTGTAACATTTGGTAACCACCAGAAGGTCGCCGCTTCTCGAAATCACCTCAAAGTCGAACAAATTTCCGCTGAGCTCTTTTCTCCAAGCAGACTCCGTGCGGCTTAAGGGGGGTCTCTATTAGCCGGCTGTATCCACTGGATACAGGCTAATTGGCAAGGGATACAGATTCTGTGGGGCAAAGGGAGTCTATATTGACCGGTTGTATCCACTGAATACAAGCGGCTTGCCCCTCGGAATATGCTTGGAGATGACTCTCTTTGAGCTCGTCCTGCTTTGCGGCGCCGTTAGGACTGACTCTGCCTGTGTAGTAATGATGTGGTAGGATTTGTTTGACAAATTCAGTACCAAACAATTTGACCTTGTACGCAATGATGAGAATCAGATCCTAAATGTAGTCTTTATACGGCTGTAGGACGCACTTGGCTCAATGATGCAAGAAGACATGATGATCAGGGCTACCCTACATAAATCGGACCCTTCATTCCTGACGGCATTATTCGACGAGAACCACACTGCTTCACTAGAATGGCTGGAGCCATTTTAAAACATCAGTCTGAATTCCAAGACCCTGCCAGTAACCGTCACGTCTCTGCCAACCACAGGTAAAAATGTTTGTATGAGGTCCTCAGTGCTCTCTCAATGATTCTGGGATGTCCATCTATTCTCTAATCTCTGATATCTAATTTCTCTATCTGCATGTCTACGATTAATGTCAAGTTGAAAATAACAAAAAAATTAACGTTGAAGTTTCCCCATTTTGTTTTTCCTGTTTGGACGCAGACCTGAATGAATGTACCTGGAAACCCTGCCTACATGGACGCTGTGTGAACAAAGATGGCGGATACAAATGTACCTGCAACCCTGGATGGACTGGACAGAACTGTCAGCAAGGTAAGCTTTTAATTAGTGTTAGTTATATATGCTGGGATTCCTTAGCACTATTTTTAAACATGAACATTTGCACTGTGTAGCTACTGATTTGCTACAAGATGACATTTGGCTTTTTAAGCTGTAAGATTTACATGACTCTTTTTATCACACAGACCTAAATGAATGTGATGGAAAGCCATGTAAACATGGACGCTGTGTGAACAAAGATGGCGGATACAAATGTACCTGCAACCCTGGATGGACTGGACAGAACTGTCAGCAAGGTGAGCTTTTTTTTCAGCAGTCAATGTTTTAAATGTAAAGCAATTTCTTTTCTTTACTAGTCTGAGGTCCTTACTGATTGACTGCCATTAAAAAAAATACTTGGATGCCAGCCATTCACATTTCTAACGATTATTTATCGTTTTGACATAGACCTGAATGAATGTACCAGGAACCCATGCCTACATGGACGCTGTGTGAACAAAGATGGCGGATACAACTGTGCCTGCAACCCAGGATGGACTGGACACAGCTGTCATCTAGGTGAGCTTCAATCTAATGTGCTGGAAACATAATTAAATTTAGCGACTGGACAGAGATTCTTCCAAGAGCAAGGTTTAAGCTACTTAATCTGAGTTTTTAGATATTCAAATACAGTGATCCTTTATGTTACAGCCAAACCATGTCCTGCGGGGTGGAAAGGATATGAGAACCACTGCTACAAGTTGATGAGAGACAAAGTCAAATGGGGAAAAGCAAAGAAACGATGTGAACAACTCGGTGCAAATCTGGCGTCTATCACAAGCTATGGCGAGGCTAACTTCGTCAACACTATCATCACTGGCGGTGGGTAATACAACAAAGCTCCTTTACAATATCACACCAACATGTTTCAAGGTAGATTTTACAAACAGCACAAAAGACGACTTTCCTTCTGCAGTAAGTTGTTCTCGAAATTCAGGTGCCCACTCGCTTAGGTCACGTGACCTTCCTGTGTGTCTTGTTGTGTTTTAGAATAGACCACAGGAAGAATAGCTACTGCCATGTACATGTATGCTAAATGTGTAACATAATAAACCTTACGGACACGTGACGTCAGCAATTCGTACTAGGAAGTGTATAGCGCCCGCCGTCTTTGTTAGCTGATTGTCTACAGTAAAGTGAAAGGTGAAAAAGGATAAGTTCATTCTCACCTTAAAGCCCTATTACATACTGTGTTAGCATAACATGTCGAACTGGCTTACCCGGCGCATAATCACAATCTCTTTCAATTACAGCTCCTGTAGGGAAGTGGGGTATTCATCTCGTCTGGTTTGGACTGCATCGTAATGATGGATTCCGTAAGTTTACGGATGGGTCACAGGTATACTACAAAAACTGGGAGCCGGGTCAGCCCAACAACAAACGCGACATCTGGGCGGGACAGAACTGCGTCGGCATGTACTCAAAGGTGTGCGCTCGAATTTGCAGAGATTGCTAGCTTAGTATTATTGTAGCGTTATGTCCTATTCTGAGTGTCATGCAACTCCCCTTTTGGTCGAGTAGAGGATTTCAAATCAGAGATAAAGTATGTATACAAGTCTTTGTCGGCGCCTATAACAGGATTTAAACGGGCAATAATAATAATAATAATAATAATGGTTTATTCGTCATTCATCACTTGCACAGAAAGGCAGGTCTAATTGGGACCTGAAGTGCTCTGCCAATTACAATTGATTAATTAATAAAAAGTTAGCACACATTAAAATCATTATACGTCATTAATTATTAATATAAGATACGTTAAAAGGTCGTTCATTTAAAATATCAGATGTGCACATAAATTACAGACAGGGTAAACGATTATGAACAGTAAAATATATATGTAAAATGCGTACTCTGAAGTAAAAGCTAGGAATTCAGCATCCGAATCATGTAGGGAATCGCGCTAGATCTAGGGGGAACAGAGCTAGATACAATCATTCTACGCTTTTTGCATTGAGAATCGGGCACAGATCTAGAAGAGACTGGTGAATGGCATCGCATTGTAGAGATGTAAAAACTTGCGAGAAATAAGGCCTTGACTTTTCATCTCCATCTGGGTCTGTTATTGGCCACTTCTTTCCCGATCGCCAGGTCATCCGTGTGTTCGACATCATCTTTATTGAACTGACAAAACAATTCAGAACAACACACAAGGTGAAGAGTTAAAAACACCTCGATCGGCCTCACGGCGGTCAATTTCTAGGGTAAAGTTTCCAATTCTACGGAGGGGTATCAGGTTACCGGGGTTCCACGCGCGGCTTCCGCGGAGCCGGTCTCTGCGGTAAACATTCTTATCATCAATTATAAACAGTTTCACGGGGACTCTCTTGTCCAAATGTGATAAAATCCGCACTGCATATAGCCCAAATGTTGGTGCTTTTATTACAATGCTTAAATGTGCGTGAAATTACTCTCAACGCGTCGAATGCTTATTCTAGAACAATCGACGTCAATAACCAAACAACTGATTTAAACCGACCCCAAATCTCACAGAAAATCCCAATTTTTTGCATTTTAGAGAACAGTATAACAAAATTAAGATTTGAGTCGGACAGTTTTCTTTATTTCAAAGTTAAAGTGTTGCTAAGGAAGAAAAATTCGCCCCAAAATGCACTTTTTCAACTTCCAAGACGGATAATTCCAGAACGCCGCCATCTTTAAAAAATCCGTCCGACACAGATCAGGATTTTTTTCTTACCTACAATTTAAAATGTTTTTGAGGTAAATTGAATTTGTTTTTCTTGCGGTTTAAATACCATGTTTGCACCCATGTCAGACCGTGTGAGTAAGTGCAGGGGGTAACTTATATCCCCGTAAACAACAATTACGATCTTCAAGGTCACACACCGTGACGGCAGTAGCTTTGTTACATGTTACATATCCACTATAAAACAGGTCATAGATATACTGTCCCGAAATTGGTTTATATTTGTAAAAGAGTGTTTTTTTTTTACTGTTAGGCGGTACCCGTGTAAAAACGGGCTTGAAGTCGCGGTTTACTGTACATGACCGCGGGTAACCCCGGATCGAACGAACGTTCGGTTCGATTGACGTCATATCGAATATGATTCGATTCGAATGACGTCATATCGAACATGATTCTGTTCGATGAAAAGGTTGGAATATTTGGGCCCGAATTTGACCATCGTGCCTCTTAAGGCAAAACATTGATCTAGGGCGCAAGGTTAAAAGGCAAAAAAGTGGATACTTGGATACTTTATTCAGTCCATTAGCTGTGGTACACAGATACACGAATACACAGCTAATCTTCCTGGGCCTTAAGACATAGACCAAGGACATACAAACTGCATAAAGGCTAACATCTAGTATTTACATCATGGATAATCATATCAATTAGACTAGTTGATATACATGACGAGCTCCTGCCGAAACCTAAACTTACTAGCGCATTTAACACCATCGGGCAAAGTGTTCCATGTAAAGACAGGCCTGTACATAAAAGTATTTTTCATGGCGTTAGTTTTGGGTTTAAACAGTCTGAATGTGCTTCTGCTTGCGTGGCGTGTCTTGTAACTGTGTCTGTGTTTGTTTGTTTGTTACTGGAAGCAACTGCTTGTACAGAACAGCCGGTTGTTGTGTGGCAAGAATCCTCCGAAGTTGAGAGCCTTTCTCTAACAGTCTGCCACAACAAAGACGTGGAAAGATGTTGAGCTGGTGTCTTGAAGTCACAGTGTAGGACCAGTCGTGCTGCTTTGTTTTGTGTGATTTGAAGTAGTTCAATGTTCTTCTGTGAAGTGGCGGAACAGACGCAAAAAAGTGTTGTGCATCAGCCATCGATAAATAGACGCCCTGCCTACCTTCTGTAACCTGGCGACGTGGGGGAAACGTAGCAGTGACAGATGCAAACTGTGCGGGAACCGGGAAACACTTCACCACGTTCTGAACCACTGCAGTGTCTCTCTTCAACAAGGACGCTACACATTCCGACACAACGCCATACTGAAGCACATAACGGACAGCATACAGGACGCCATTGACCTCTCACAGATCACCGCCACTGTATATGCCGACATCCAAGGACACACGACCAACGGGGGGACTCTGCCGGTACACATACTGCCTACAACACAGAAACCTGACTTAGTCACTTACCTTCGAGAACAAAACACAATCCATACTCAGGAACTGACCGTGCCGTTTGAACAGAATATCAAAACCAGTCACGACCGTAAGGTCAACAAGTATGCAGCCCTAGCGGCAGACCTGAGAACAACAGGCATCACCACAACTCTTACCTGCTTCGAGATCGGATCCAGGGGACTCATCACACCCGACAACAAGAGCAGACTTAGGACACTGTTTCATGTAGTTAAGTCAAAACCACCAAAGAACTTCTTTAAAGACATTAGCCGCATTGCCATTTTATCGTCCTATGCTATATGGAATGCACATCACGAGCCGAATTGGGACTCAGATACCTTACTGTAACTACAATGTACTTATCATTAATACCGGCCTACTCCCTGAAATTATAACGTGGTTAAGTCGCATTAGATAGAAGTGGTAATCTTTTTAAGCCAAAGTCTAAAAATTCTTGTGATAATTTTAATGAAAACAGTGCAATATTTAAGGAAACAGTGCAATATTGTATGTCCTGATGTATTGTATAGTGTCATACATGTATGTGTAATGTCTCCCTGCATGTTCGGTCAGTTATGGCCGATGTGACCTGGGATCAATGTTTCTTTCTTTTGTTTGTGAATAAAGAATGATTTTACTACTTCTATTGCACGTTATTTGTATTTTACTATTATTGCACATGTTTACAGAGATTACCGGTTGGAAAACAGCCCAGACGGGGACTCATCATCTACGGCTGCCTGAGCATTTTGTTCGAATGGAACAGTCAGTTCGATTAAAGTCAATTAATCGATTACTGTTCAGCAGTGTCCTGTGTAGTCATGGTCTACCTCCATGGTATAGTGATGCCCGGTAAGAGGTAGGTAGGCAGAATGTCTGGATGTACTGTGGTATGTGTCCCGCCCTCTAGGACGTCTGGACTCAGGCTAAACCTTATCGTAACCGCGGCTTCTAGCGTCGAGTACCAACCCTGCAGGGTGGTGACCAGTTCCTTCAGTACACTGTCATGGCGCCAGGCGCATCTGTCCGTCAGTGTCACTGGACAGGCATTAAGAACATGACGGAGTGACTGTGACCTTGACACAGGGGGCATTTTGTTGAAAGGACAGTCCCTAGCGGTCCGGGTTGTCCCTTGTTGGTAGCCAGTTTGTTCCCAGTTTACTTGGAAACAGCTGAAAAGTTAATTGGGTAAAGAAAGAACAGGGAGTGGTTAACTGAAGAAACCTCGAAGTAAAATGTAAAACTGAATCTTTTCCTTTCTTCGACAGACTGGCATGGGCTATGGCGGCCATCTTTTCGCGTTCGATCATGTCAAAAAGGGACGGTGGAATGATGACCAGTGCTACCGTCACTATCCCTTCATCTGCAAGCGTCAAAAATGACAATGCTACATTCTTTCCCAGCGAAACCTTGTCTCTACAAACAAGGCAGGTGGACGGGACAAATGAAGAAAGTGGAAGCCACGTTGGAAGACGTAAAAGCTACAGCACACGCCTGTAGCAATTAAGGGTTAATGACCCACCCCAAGTTGTTTATTGTGAAATAACATCTGGTCAGCGACCTATAGCCACCGAACAAACCACCGAGTCAGCGAGGTGTTATGTCACCGTAAACACCGAGGGAAGAGCGGGTCATTAACGTTTTTATGATGTAGTCAATTCGTATCATAAACGTTATTATTCTGTAGCCAATTCAAACTGACGTTGACATTGTTAGAAGATTTAAAAACTTAATAAGTTGAAAAAGTTGAAAGCCATCATTCCTACAGGTGTTTATTCCAACAATCTTTTTTCTTCAATCTTCCTTCAATGATTCCACTTATTATCAAGTTTTCAAAGATACAGGAGCAGGAGAACACATTTAAGGGTTAATGTCCCGCCCCGAGGTGAATATGGTGTGATAAAGCCTTGTCAGTGGCTATAACCACCGAATAAAGCCACCAAGTGAGCGCACCGAGAAAGGGCGGGCCATTAACGCTATTATCATATAGCTTACACGATAGCCTATCCATACTGATGCAGTGAAGAGTCACACAATGTACCCCTTGCACATGCTGAATAGAACATAGAATATTTGTTCCGTCTGGAGTCACCTGAGGTCACAGGGGGGTTCATGTTCTATGTCTTCTATCTGGGTCACAGGCAGGGAACAGGTGTTCTTATGGGAGTCATTGGAACACAACTCAAGTTATTTTTGGATTTTTTAGAAGTAGAGCCGTGTTCTATTGGGTCACCTGAGGTCATATGTGGGTGATTATTTATTTTGTTTAATGTATGGATTGGGATGAATAAATACCCGATTTTGACTCTATTTGTGACATTACGGCGACATAAAGAATGTGGAATGGAGCCTTCTGATTGGTCAACGTCACCCGGCTATATGATAATATGTATTAATTTGCATTTGGTACAGTATGAAAAAGTAATAATTGATAGACAAAAATACACAAGATACAATCATTATGATACTAGTATACAGTTTCTTGGTGAGACAAACAAGAAGCATGACAACCTAAGCTACACCATGTGGCTGGCTTTGTTTGTTTGAACCACTTTCTTTTCCATACAGGTCTGCAGGTCGCTTTTCATGTTGTTGTAAGAAAAAGATTTTTGCCTTAGTGAAGTGATGGCCTGGCTTTATGATAATAACAAAAAATTAATAAGTCACTTACTTCGGCAAACTGATTGTATTTTTTTCTGACAATAATGACTCATGTTCTTTTTTTTCTCAATTTTTTTAGTAAGGAAACACAAGAGCAATCATAAGGAAAACATACAAGCACTTTTACATATTTAGTAACAGAAAGCACAGGTAACATATGTGTGCACACGGCACAGAAAGCATTAATAATGTTTTAAGTATCAAAAATTAAACCATGTTCCATTGTGCACTTTGGAAAAAACTTTCAAAAAAACCTGTGTGCCTTCATATCAGTAAACATTTCGTGAACTTGAATCCCGTTGAAATTGGAAGATTTTTGTAGTCACATTGCTTAGATTTGAGTGGGAAAATGTTTTAACGGTTGGAAAGTAAAAATTACAAGTAGATGGAAGTAGTTTTCTGTGCTAACTAAACTTCTGTCACACACTCATGTCATTTGAAAATAGCTGCCACTGCAATGTTTGTTTTATGTAGCAAGCAACTAAATGTTAATGACATTGTGTCAATAATTATTACATTATCAAGTTCTAATTGTATATTATTGGAAGGAAGAAATGGCTGAATTCATCTATTGAGAAGGATTGTATAAATTAGTACTTATTTTACTTAACTTTCATGTTGTGTTTGTGCATAACATGTAGTATGCAATATAGAAAGACAAAATGTATTCCTATATTAGCTTGGTTTGGAGTCATAAAAATGCTATGTTCTGAATTTGATGAGATACCATTATGGTAATTAATGGCTTTTTGAAAAGCATCACAATGAGGGACCATATTGAATTGCATTCGTTCTGAAGATTTTTTCTAAGATACGTGACGTGTAGGGGGTAAATAAATGCTGTAAACTAAGGCCACACCAAGTAAATTTTATGGATGACGTCCTTTGGAGACCCTAAATCTAATGCGAGAGGGCGAAAAAAAAACAAGAAGGGCCCTAAAAAACAAGATGCCTAGATTAGAAATATAATAAGAGACGACAAATATTAGGACACAAATTGAGTGAGGTGACACAGTGTAACAAGCAAGAAGTCTTTTATTCATCATCAAAACAGCAATAAATCAGGTGGCACAGTGGACAGTGAAAACAGGATGGTAATACTTTCTTCGCGTTATGCTAAGGTCACATTTGAAACGGCGCCCGTTCGGCATGTCCTCGGCGTAGACGCCGGCCGGCGTCATGGCGCCGAGCGTGCGCCGTACTGTCAGGGTCACAATTAAATGTTCCTTTACGGCTCCCTGTCGGGGCCTGCTTGTGCTCAGGCCGGCGGCTCTCATTAATATTCATAAACTTTTGCGGCCGGTTTCTGTCAGGGACCCGTCCGGTGGCCGGTCAGTCGCCCGCCTTGACCCGTGCGGCGTGTGGTAGGGTGCCGACCGGCTCTTACAGTTCGGCCGGGCAGCTGTCAGGTCCCTGGCGGGTTCCTGGCGGGATCCCGACGGGCTCCTCTCGTGTTTTTGAGCAGGTACATATATAAGCGCTGCACTGCCTGCTACCGTTCACTTCAACTAAAGAGTACACGTCAAGTAAAGAGTACACTGAAGTTGGCGATGCAGCGTTCAGTGCAACCTGCAAACAACTTACAAGCCGTCTGAGATTGAGATTGGTGACAACCTACAAGTAGGTCTTCTGGCAATGGAAGCTGAAGAAGAGAGGCAGGCAGAACTGGTGCGTCGCAAAAGTAACCGAGGGCCTACTTTCGAAAGTACTTCAACAGTGACGCAGGAAGTGTGTCGTGGCAGCTCCTTGCTATTGAGCAATAAAACCACTGAATATCGTTACTTCTGTTGAAATTTGGACTGAAAAAAAATGCCAATAACTTCTGCTTCCATTTCATCACGTAGGCATATGAGGTAACAAGAGATAATGTCAGACACATTTTATTCCTGTTATGATCTGTTTTATGAAGCTGGCAGGAGAGCCGTGCCGGCTGTTTTCCCTTGCGCTTCGACATTCTGACACACAAATACAAGGTGTAACACACACAAGTACACGATGTAACACATACGTGGTGAACTGTGCGACGTAGTCTGAGGCAGGAGTTTATATATGCTCCCTATAAGCCCCTTTTCCTGACCATCTGATGCACTGATCAGCACATGTGACGTCATAACCATAGGCAGGTGCCTGTTCGGCCGCCCGACCGGTCCCCAGCAGTGAGGTTACGGCGTCGCTTCGGCGTATTTCGCCGAACGGGGCCCGAAGTGATTTTAACTCTGAGTTAAAATTGATTCGGCGACCGCGCGGGGCCAAAAATAGGCCGGCAACCGTCGGGAAGCCCGCCGGTCTCCGTCCAGGTCCCGTTCGGTAGTGCCCAAAAAACACGCCGAACACGCGCCGAGCGGGCCCCTTTCTTGAATTGTGACCTAAGCATTACGCGTTTCACGTCAATCTGACGATTTACGGCACTGTCGTGACTCTTTGGTCAGAGTTACAGGAAGCGGAATTTCTTGGGGATTTTTTCTAGGAATATGCCAAAATCAATGCGCGCGCGGACATCATCCATAAAATTTACTTGGTGTGGCCTAAACGATAATTACATACAATCATTGTCCACAAAGACTTATGAAATTGTTCAGATTATTGAAATATTCTATTCATGGGTACGTCCGTATTAGAGTCACTTTGTTCAAATTTCTTGAAAAAATGAAATTATATTTTTACATATCGCGACTGTATCAAGAAAAATAAATGTCATCAACTACTAGTATTGCAATGTAAAATCGCTGCTGATTGTGACAATGGTCAAAAATGGGTCAAATGTTACACTGCTGTAAAGAAGAGTTAAACAATAACCGAAACTAAGCAAACAATACTGGGTCATAATATCAATGCCATGCCGATTGGTATGTATATGATGTATAACTTATTGGTCATTTTCTGAATATACATTTTTCTGCTTTTCAATATCTATCACTTTGCGTAGCAAAGGCAATAAATAGACAATGATGTGTAATGAAGTGTTGTTTTCTTTTTGTATTGTTGTCTATATGAACATACAATCCTGCTTTTTTTTAGTACACCTCAACCACCTCAAACCACCCACCTTCTTTGTCAGCCAGAGGTATATAAACATGGCAATCTTGTGATAAGTCAGGAAATCTCTTGTTACATTCCTCTGATGTAAGAGTTATGTAACGCACTACAACATCGTTTTTCTGTAGAAACAGATTAATAGTTGGGAAAACATTTCCCTTGGCTGACAGGTTGCAGATAAATTGAGCATGAAGCCTTACTATAGCTGCTAACGTGAAGATACTAAACTATCAAACCGGCAAGTCTGCACTTCCAAAAACAAACACTTCCTACCTACCTTATAATAAATATCTGTTCATTTTAAAACCATCCCAATGCAAAAAAATACACTTTCAGTGCAAACATAAAGTTCTTAAATAAATTCCGTGCAAAATATAAAAATAAAAAAAATATTGAAAAGGCTATGGACATAACCTTAAAAATTATTAAATTTTACCTCACGTAAAATGGTGGTCTAATAAATACTGCTGATATTTTGTTTTTCTGATATAATGAGTTTTTTTTTAGCATCGAGGCTTGTAGATGTCTCTTTGAAGTCTTTAAACCTTAAAATGTAGGGTAATAACCAGCCTCGGGGCATATACGGTATCACAAGGCATGGTCGGTTCTTAACCGTTATTAACCTAAAAGGCGTATCGAGGCAGCGAATTAGACTTACTACAGAGTTTTAAATGTTAGTGGCAGTCTCAGAACCCTACCGTAGACCGGGGGGGGGGCTAAAAGTGCCCGCGGCAACTTTGATGTCACCTAGCGTCT